TGGCTCATAGAATTGAAGGAAAAACTGGAGAAGCAGGAATTGGAAGACAGGAGCCTAGTCAGTCTGCGAGATCCATGTAGCAGTATCCAATCACATTCTCCTCAAGGACCTGCCTCAAGATAACGTGGATTGTTTTAAGTCTTTGTGTTACTCTCCTCCAGAATCTGATGCCAGAGTGAGAACATCTGGTCGGTCCACCTTGGTGCCAAAGAGGTTCATACTTACTAGGAAAGGGAATAGATGCTATGCAAACAAAAACATTCTTTTACTATTATTATCAAGTAAAGGACCTTCACACACCTGTAGCTAGGTGTGGGGCACACAGCTGGAGATGTGGTAATCAAAGTGGACTGTCCGGACACTCAGGCAGCCATCTTTCTCCACGTGAAGGGCCCTTCTAAGAGGCCCCTTCCTAATCTCCAATGATGGCATGTATGGCAAATGAGATAGTAGGAACTCCAGGATTCTTTGAATGGTTTTCTCTCAAAATCTTTCAAATCAACACCTTAGGATTTGAGTGTATTTGAAAATAACATTAATTCTTAAAGCCATACTTTGTAGGCTTTTTTGGTATGGCGCTGAAATGTGGTTTCTAAGGTAAATATTTGAATGAATACTATACATCTAAACCACTGGTTTAGAATGCAGACAACTGCCCATCTACGTGCTGGCTAAACCTGCAGTTTCCTGAGTCCAACCCCCCCACCTACTGAAACAAAGTCCTGGTGGGGAGGGCTTAGGGTGAGGGTTGATTGTCAACTTTACTGAGCTGCCCAGGTGGTTTTGATATATACACTTAAGTGGGAGAATCACTGAAACAGATTCAACAAATTAATTGAGCAGACACTCTGTGCCAGATAGTGTTCTAGGCTCTAGGGATACAACCACGAACACTATAAACCAATTTCTTGCCCTTCTGAAGGTTCTTATGGGGAGGAAATTAACAATGAACAAGATGATCACAGAGTGGAATAAATACTCTGAAGAGCAGAAGAGCATGATCTCAAGCTCAACATGACCAAACACCAGGGTTCCCTTTGACTGTCACACTATTTCTTCTCTGTCCCGGATAATTGTGCCCCCATCCCCCTACAGGCTCAAGCCGAAGAGGCCTTTGGATCACTTTGGATTGATTCCTTTCTTTCCTTTTTTTTTTTATCATCCCTCCCCTCTGCCCCCCACCCCACATACACTCTTTCAGCAAGTCATGTTAGCTCTATCTCCAAAATACACCCCAAGTCCAACCACTCCTCATTCCCACAGCCCACAGCAAGACCCCCCTTCTCCCTGTACGGATAACTTCAATGGTTTCCCTGTCTCTCTAATCACATCTCTCCAGAGTCCATTCTTCACACAACAGTGAGAGTAAAGTTGGAAAAATGTAAGTAGGACCACATCTCCTCCTTGCTTAAAACCTTCCAAAAGTCAAACTCTCCCCCTGATCTGTTAGGCCTATATGTTTTAGTCTTTGCCCAGCTCTGGAGCCTAATCTGGGGCCACCCTCTCCCCTGCTGACAGTGCTCAACTGTCAAGTGTTTCTGTCTCATGACCTTTGAACTTGCTTTTCTCTCCAGCTGATAACTTGGGATCATTTGGGTCTTAGCTCAAATGTTACTTCCTCAAAGAGGCCTACTTCATCCATCCTAACTAAAGTAGCACCCCAACCCCACCCTGATAATTTTCGTTAGTCTGTTTCTTCATAGCCCTTAGCCTCTGAAATAACTTTATTATTTATTAATTGGTTTACATGTGAACATCTGTGTGTTCCCAGTACAATAAAAGCTTCATGAATGCAAGGATTTTTTTTGTCTGTTTTTTCCACTGGGCTATTCCTAGCACTCAAAATAGTGGCTGGCACATAGTAGCAGTTCATTAAATACTGTTGCCTCAATGAATGAAAATGAGTGAATGCATGATAAGTTACTGGAGATGGTGCTACCTAAACAGACTATCAGAAAATGAAGGCTGGGTTTTCAGGGACGTGAGTTTGGGAACTACATAAATTCTAACTTTGCCCTACACAAACTCTTCATTCCAGGCAAACAGGTTTACTTGTTCTACCAACACACCTCATACTTTTCAGTCTCTGTTCAGTGAAGAGGCCTAGGTCCTGCATTCACCATAAGCATGGCCCTGAGCTAAGTGCTGGGGGACCTGTCTCACAAAACAACTACACATGTTGTTCCTGCCACTAGCAAAGGCTATTCTCCTCCACCTTGTTCCCATCACAATTTTGCTCTTCCTTCCCAGAGTCGTCCTTGTTACCTCCAGCAAAAAATGACCTCTCTTCCTCAAGTGCTTTTAAACTCTTTATAAATACTCTTTAGCTTGATGCTGGTATACTTGTTAAATGCATGCCTTGGGCAAGTTTTTTAACCCGTTTGAGCCTTAGTTTCTTCACTTGAAAAATAGTAGCAATGATTCTTATTTAACAAGATTGATAAGATGATTAAATATAATGTATGTTATGCCAAGCGCAATGCTTAACACATAATCACTCATTAAATGGTAACTATAACAATAATTACATCTTCTTATTGTTAATAAAACTGTAAGTATTATGCCTTAATAGTAATTAAGATATAAAATATTGGTAATAAGGCAGGCATATATTGAACATTTACCATTTCCTAGGAGTTTTGCATTTATTATCTCATATGCGATGATTTTGTAATATAACTGCTTCATACATTTGTGTTTTATTTCCCAACTAGATGTTTAGGGCATAGGCTATGTTGCAAAAAAGATTTTGTTGTTTTTTTTTTTAATCTTCCCAGTGCCAGACTAGTTCACAGTTTATAGCAAGTACTCAAGAACTATTTGTTGCAAATAAAACAATGACCTATAGCCCTGAAATTTCATGATTTGTATTATGTCAGATTATAAACTGATCTGAAAAATCATACCAATTTGAACCAATCATACCAATTATAAAACAATTTTGGTTTATAATTTAGAATGTGGTTTTAGATACATCAGCTGCTTAAACAGTGCGCTGGTAAAAACTCTGCCTTCCATTCATTCAATAAATACTTTTGAACACCTACTATATGCCACCTCCTGCTTTAGGCAACTTACAAAGACTTCAGAAACAGGGAAATGATGGTGTTCATCTGTCTGTATACCTGGCATGTTTGTATACTCCACTTTTGCAGTTGCAGATTCCTTGAGGGACTGGCTCATATGTTGGAATCTAAGCACTTAGAGAATATACAAAACATGCAGCATAATGAACAGTTAGGCTCTGGAGTCAGAAGGCTGGGGTTGAATCCCAGCTCTGCTAATTCTTTGCTCTGAAATCCTGGCAAGTTACTTATCCTCTCTAAGCCTCAGTTCCTTCATCTCTAAAATGAAAATAATACTGCCTATCTTTAAGGGTTATTGTAGGTATGAACTAAAATAATGCTTATAAAGCATTCAGTACTAAAGAACTAAAAATATTAGCAATCATTAAGTTGTGAGTTCAGATTTCCCTACCAGGCACACTAAGCACACTAGACAAGATGAGTGCACCTGGAAACTCATTTTTGAACGAGGAGAGAGGAAATGAACATATACTTAAGTTCCATTATGTGTCAGGCATCAGAGTAGAAGCTCTCCACATGGCATTTAACCCTCACAACGACACAAGCAGGTATCATTTTACAGATGAGGATAGTAGGACTCAGGGAGGTGAGTACCTTGCCCAAGTTTACCCCAGAGAAATGGTGGAGCCAAAGTTAATCTCTTCTTCAAATCCCTCTCATGTAATGAAAAACAAGGACCCACCTACACTTCACTCATTGTCTCTGAGATTCTACACACATTGCATTGTTCCTATAGGATACCAGTGCCTGGATTTTGCTGTACAAGAGAATCCCTTGGAGTGCTTTTTTGGCCCACCAAAAAGGATTATAATTTAAAGATAAGGACCAGGAATCAGCATTTTAGGCAATTACTAAATCATAAAATGTAATGTAGAGAATGGAGTTAATTGTTACAGACCAGGCAAATTACAAGTATTTCTGCTACATATAGTTCCTGATCATATTTTAAAAATAGTGCATTAAGAATCAAAACACTCAGTTTTAAAATCACGTAATTCATATGTGTGTGTATTTAAAAACTAGTTGAAATCTTAAGGCATATGACTATATGATGAAAAGATACATAGGTAAGCTGACATATTTTAGGATTCACACAGCAATGGCATGCTCTGTGTTCACTTTGTATTCTGTGTAATCTACACAGAAATAGATAACTTAAATTGATTTTGTATGTTTTTGTGTCCTACCTCTGAGTAGGCCTCTGAGTTGGACTATCTTACTTATAGCAATTGTTTATTTACCAGTTGTTTGCTTATTAGAAGTTTTTTTATTAGCTGTGATGGTTTTAAAAGGCTCACCAAATGGAAAATGAATAACCAAGGATAAACACCTTTAAAAAAAAAAAGGAGAACGCTGAGGGTGAGAATTCATTAATGTGACAGAAATGATCAGGCCTGATTACTTAAGCAGTTGTATAAGGACCTATCTGATATTTAGCTGAGATAATTTCTTTAAAATGAACCATATAGGTCACAAAGTGCTAATAAAATATGTTGATGAATCTTTGAGTATTGCCCTGATTGTGTCTCCTTAGGGAATGGAGAACTCATTAGCATGAGTTCCCTGTCAGTCTTTCCTGCTCTGTTCTCCAAGTACTTTCCAGATGGGCTTGGCATAAAAGTGTGATCAAAATGTATGTAGCATGGCCAAGTCTCGAATGAATGGCTCATCTAACCCTACTGATTAAATACATGACATTACACAGTATGAAAATTCTGTCGTGCTTCACTGACTTTACTTTTCTGAGAGCATTAAAAAAAGCAATTTGGGGGAAGGGAGTGAGTGGGTGTGTTCATTCTGTAAATTCTTAGTTTTTCATATTCAACTGCAGATGTATATTTCCCAGACAAGAAGAAAGCTTCAGAACTGAGAAGTTGTTAAATTGGGAACAGCAGGCGAGTGTGTGTGTGTGTGTGTGTGTGTGTGTGTGCACGCATGCACACAGGGAGAGAGATAAGCCTGTTTGCTTTCTGAAACAGTAAGTAGTAAAACAGGTTGTTTAGGGTAAAGTCCCTTGAACTAGATATTTGGTTTTAAGTATATTTGCCTATAATAATACCTTATATTTACATAGTGCTTTGAAATTTTCAAAGCATTTACACATTTATTATGCCATATGAATTTCACAACAGCCCTATGAAGTAGAATTTCACAACAGCAGGTCTTCTATCTGCCACCATCACTTAAAAGATGGCTAAACTGAGTCACAAGCACATCAAGAAAGTTGTTCGATTGGGGCGTCGCCGCTGCAGCCACCGCCTCCGGAGATGGTGAGTGGTGTGTGCGGCCCCGTGCACCCAGGGAGGACGGGTCGACCGAGCGTGAGGGTCGTGGTCGGGGGCTGAGTGGGGGAGCGAGCGGGGCGCCCCTGGCGCCCCAATAAAATCTGTTTTGATTAGAAAAAAAAAAAAAAAGAAAGTTGTTCGAGATCACACAACCAGTTGGGGTAACAACTAGAACTACAGCACCAGAATTTTGAAACTTCGGCCTGTGTTTTCTTGGCAGAAAGTGTGTCCGCTACTGTTTGATCTCCCCAGAGCTCATGTGGAGATTTGTGGCTACAATTTAATTGGAGAATACAAATCCAGCATGTCTAGAGAGCTCTGCAGAAAGGAGATTGTTTCTCTTAGCTCATGACTGTATTAGAAAAGGGAGGTGGAGAATAGAATCAGTGGTTTTAGACAATGCAAATTACAAACAAACAAAAACACTTTGTAATCAGTTTCTAGATATTTTGAGGGCTATTCATTCATTAATTTGCGTATTCATTTTTTAAAGTATCCATTAAGTGTCTTTATATAGGAGACTGTGCTTAGTTAGCACTTTGGGGAGTTTACCAAGAGATGCATTTAATTTGAAGGGTTTGCTTCAAATTATACAGACAACTGCCATTATAGTCATTTGTCATTATCACCTGGTAGATAAAATAAAATGCCTTCCTTGCAGAAAAGCAAGATAAACAAAAACAAATGAAGAATGTGGGTGACTGAGTTCCTTCAATCCTCTTCTTATTAGAGGTATTTTTTTTTTAAATCAAAGTGAGCCCCGCCAGTGTGGCTCAGGTGGTTAGAGTGTCGTCGGTAATTGAAAGGTTTCAGGTTGGATTCCTGGTCAGGACATGTGCCCTAGGTTGCAGCTTCGGTCCCCAGTTGGGGCTCTTACAGGAGGTGACCAGTTGATGTTTATCTCTCACATCAATGTTTCTCTCTCTCTAAAAGAGATGAAGAAATGTCCTTCCGTGAAGATAAAAAATTTGATTAATTAAAAATCAAGGTGATAAAATTGTCCTGCCAAGTACACAAAACACAAAATTCTCTACATCTTCCAACATAACACAGACTTTAACTGTAATACTCCCTTGAAACTGGAGAGAGTGGGCTTAGGTTGGTTCCAGGTTCCTTATCAGGAATGCCAGATCAGGATTTAAGAGAAAATGTTAGCATCTAGCCCCAAAAGTAACTTCCTGAAAGCATCTCTGAAGGCCAGCCTTAATTCTCTAAAATGAACTTTTTCTCTTGGGAAGCATGTAGACAAAAGGAAACAGAGGCACCAATGGGCATAGGGAAACTGACAAGAGTTGAAGGCCCTGTCATTCCGGTAGAACATAAGCCAGAATTTCCTAATGAGTGTTGTAAGTTTCCTTGCAGGTCTCTATTAAAAAAACAAATAAGCAAAAAAACAAAAAAACAACAAAAAAAACTTCCCTGGACAATTTTTTTTTAATTTCTAGCATAAACACCTCTTAACCAGAAGGCAAAATTTGTGTTAGTGTTTACACACATGATAAGTACATTTGCTGTATTTCTTCAGTTTATACTGCATGCACACAAATAGTGTCATTGAGTGAAACTACCTTTTTTGTGTTGTGACAGGCCCCCAACACGGGCATGTGAAACAGTGTGTTATGTCCCTATGCATTGTTTATTTGCATTGTCTGTGAAGAGTAGAGACGCAGAGTCATTCCCACCTCTGTCCCTACTCTGTCCCCAGTTTGCTTCTCTGCTGCTTCCAATTTTTCCACTTGTGGTATTACAGGGTTAGAGTCAGTGAGCTCTAAACTCTGTTTCAACTCTACCACCTGATGATGCTCCAGTTTTTAAATGTCTTCATTGCTATCGAACATACATTATTTTTCCAGTCAGAATATCCTTAGCAATATAGTAGAATCCTGCTTCAGGGAAATTTATTGTAAGTCAGATAAAATTAAGTGTATTCACTTTACAAAAATGATTATTTGATTAGCAAAATAATTCTGAATGATGATAAATAATAAGCATGGTTATACATTTAAAATACTTATTTTTAATACAAGTTTTCAGGAAAAGTAATTTAGGGTGAGGCATACATGAATTAAATAACAAAAATACAAACAAATGTCAAAAATCATAGTATTTTTGGAATGCTAAAGAAAAATTTAATCCACTGTCCTATTTTACAAAATAGGGAGCTATGGAACAAAAAGGTTGTACTTACTTGCTTAGTATCACACAAGTAGTTAAAAAGGTTGTGCAAAGAAAACCAGTTGCAGAACATTTTTGGTATTTTTCTCTATACATATTGAGACCACACCTCTTCATTTACCTATGAAAGAAAAAATTATAGATGTTCAGTGCTTAAATTGAGGAATATTATTAAAAATAAAATGTAAAGTCATAATGTAGTCTCTCAAATTCCTCATATGTGGACACGTTTTAGTAGTTTAAATAGAAGATTCACATGCATTTAAAGTTAATCTGCTTGTGAGTTTAACTTTGCTGACCTTTGCATTGCCACTGAAATAGCATGGTACTCTGCTATTATGTTCTAAAATTATTTTAGATGTTATATATTTTTGGTTTTTCTATAAATAATATTGTGATTTTTATAACATGAGTACAGATTGACCTCTGTCAATAGTATTTTCTAATACTGACACTGAAAGCCCAGGTATGCTTATAAGTATTAGTAGGGCTTGACTCCTGCTAAACACATAAATGCTTCCAATTACATAAATGACTTTTATTTTATTATTCTTTCCATATTCTTGTATTAAATACTAAACAACCTCTCTCTCTATAGTTTTCATTTGGGTGCAGTGATTGAGTATTAAGTATTAACAGAAAATACTAATCAGTTTCAAGGCACATGGCTTTATTTTTGCCATGGACCCCAATGTTTGAAGTGAGAAGGGCTCTTTAAAACTAGTGCTTCTAGCATTTCATTGACTCACACTAAATCAGTCCCTTGATCACCCAGTTAATTTTAACCTTGACCTCCCACAGCTGTACTGCTTTATTCAGTCCAAAAAAACCTCTCTGCTTCCACCCTTTCTGCTTCTTATGAAGCAATAGCAGGGAGGAAAAACCAAACCCATTCCTTTAAGAAAGATTCCGCCTCCTCTCTTATAAGCAAAAACCTCATGCTAATTGTGGAGTCTCTCTCTACTAAATCACACACTTCACTACTCAGCATTGGGGGAAGCTGCTGCTGCTGCTGCTGCGGCTGTTGCTCCTAGCTGCTCCTAGCTGCTGGCTGCCTCTGCTGCCACCACGGGTCTGAGGCTGCAGCGGATTTCTGTGCAGCATTGCAGAATCCACACCTAGAAGACACACGCGTCTACTGCCCTGGACACAAGAAAGCCTTGGATACTCAGCGGGTAAGTGGATATTTTATCCATTTTGCACAGAAACTGTGGGAAAGGGAATGATCATGGAAAAGATTGCTCATCAGACATGCTTAAAATGTGTTGTGTTAATTTGCCTTCCTTTGATTGGGGGGGGGGCGGTCTAGATTTGTGACTGGCAAATGCCCTGTATAGTAGACACTATTGTCTGATATGTGCTCTTAACATACTTTTTTGTTTGCTATTCATAAAAAGGCTAACCTTGATGCATGCAAAGCTTTTCATTTTTTGCTTTTTAAATACAAGGAAACATCTAGCCACTCCCAATATCTCTCTCAAATACTGCAGATATTTTTAAATACCTAATAAAAATGACAGGCTGAGCATTTTAAAAGTATTTTCTCCCCCAAACCAGAAAGCCTTCCCCACGACCCATTAGGAGTGTTTAAAAATCAAAAGGCATGGTTAGATTTTGAGCAGACGGGAGATGGTGGTAGACTAAAATTTCTCTAACCTTAGTCCAGTGAAAAGAGAAAACGAAGATAAATGAAGCACAGTTTGTGTCAAATACTCATTTTCCACACTTCATATGTAGGAAGAGGAAACTACATTTTAATTAGCACATTTTTAGAGAAGAGGGAGGGGACTAAGATGAGGGGATGGTGTGAAGTATTTGAGGGGGAAGAGTCTGCTGAGGAGGAAGGAAATGAAATGGACTGTCGCCAGTGCCTTGGAAAAGAAGAGATGTAGGGTGGGGAATGAAGTTTGTTGTGTGTGTTAGGGTGGGGTTAACCCAAGGGACCATGAATAACCAGAATGGCGCTTGGAGGGGTGTGCTTGGGAGTGGATTCGTGCCAGTGGAGGACGGGTGCAGCAGGAGGGATGTGCAAGTCGTGGGTGGCATAGAAAGGTGTGTGCGTTGCTAGGAGGTCTATTTGGAGAATAGGTTGGGGTGAGAAACGTGTCTGGGCAGCGGGGGTGGACGGCCCAGTGTCACCTGTGGATGGATCCACCTCCCTTCAATTGCGTGTTGCCAAAGTTTCCCAGGCCCCAGATTCATTTTGAAGACTGGAGGTGCCTAGAGTTTTCGCTTCCAAGAGGTCAGCTCTCATAAAATCATAACGCCAGGGGCCAAAATTGGGATGAAGATCCTCTAGGGGCCGAAGTGTAGCAGGATTGAGAGCCCCTGCCATGCCCCTCTGTGGAGCTAAGGGGGAAGAGCTGCCCCCACCGGCAGCTGTGCTCAGAAGAAAACTCCAGGCTCCTCCAATGGGGGGCGTACGGAGCTTGAACCTCAGCGGTGACCGAACCCTGAAGACCCAGCAACCAGTGAGGCCAGCAGAGGCTGACTCCGAAAGAGGCGGCTCAGCCTCCAGAACTGGGGGTCTCGCTCAGGTTAGGGAGGCCGACATTTCCGAGGCGTCCCCCCCGCCCTTTAGTCGGTTTTCCATCAGGGTAGTTTTACCCTCCAACCTCAGAGGATGCCACGGATCCGAGCTGCGTAGCGGGAGAAAGGGGTCTCGCAGCCGCCCTGCGCCAAGCCCTCCCCGAGGCCCGGGGGACTGCAGTTTCACTGACTCGGTGCCGGAAAGCGAGGAAGGGGCCGCAAAGGGCGGGGCCAAGGCTCCAGGGGAGCACCAAGGGACGATAGGGGCGTGGCCTTGAGGAGGTGGAGTCAGGGACACCCTGTGATTCCCGGGGGGCGGGTCCAAGACGCTTTGCAGCCCAAGAGGCGGAACCAGGGGCGCGCGGGGGCTGCTAGAGGCGGGCCTATTGGGGGCGGGGCCAGGGATGCTAGTGGGCCTAGGGGCGGGGCCACGGGCGCTCCTGGGGCGCTAGGCCAGTCACGCCAGAGCGCGATCCGCCAGTCGGTAACGGTCGCCAGGACGAGGGGCGGGAGGGAACGGAGTGGGGTTTAAATTATATTTTTAAAAACAGAACGACAGCGCGAGGCTTCGGCGACTCAGGTGTCGCCGCTTCCTGCTACACAGGGCTCCGCGCCCAGGCCCCTCCCTCCTCACGCCCCCGCCCCTTCTTCTGCCCTCCCCTAGTCTGCCCTCCCCTCCGAAGCGGTGGGGCGCTTAAGAAGCGGCGGCAGCAGATCGGGCGGCCGCTGCAGCACCCGCGGCCGCGGAGAAAGAGGGAGGGGAGCACAAAGAGGGGCTACGCGCTGCAAGGTAATCCTGAGGGGAGAATAGGCGCCGTGGTTCAGCCCTTCCTCCCGGCGGGGACGACGGTCATATGCGCGGGCTGGGGTGCGGGGACCCTTCCAGGGGGTCGCGCGGGTGTGGGGAGCCCGGTGGCTCTCAGGACTGAGGGGACTTCCTACTGGCTGCGTCTGCGGCCTCAGGTGACCCCCTCTTTCTCCCAGGGGCGGAAATGGGAGCTTAGGACTGGCCCGAGGGTAGTGGATCTGCGCGGGACGTCCCTTGGAGCCACGGGGTGGGCCGGACTCTCTCCCGCGTCCTCTGATTTCTCCCGGGAGGGCGGGGAGTTATAAAAATCCAGCGCTATCTGAAGCTTCGGTGACCCGGGTGCCTTAAACTCTAAAGGTGTGCGCCAGGAAGGTGGGAGGTTCTCACTCTTGGAAAAGGTGCAGGTAAGGGAGGGGTCTTGGTTTGGTTTGCTTTTGTTATTTAAAAAACTTTTCGTTAAAAGTTGAAAGTGTTCAACCACCTTCTCTTTTAATCCGCTTCCCCATCCCCCCAAGACACACACAGACACATACACCCACCACCGCCCCTATTCCCTGGAAACGTACACACATTAGTTAGGTTGAGCCTCCTACCCGGGGTGACAAGCAGAGTTGGCAGCAGGTCCGGTTTGCTGGTGTTTGGGGCACGTCCAGCTTCTTTGGAGGTATGCTATTATAGCTGGGGCAAGACCACAGAGACAGGTAGAATAAGCTAGGCCTCTATTAAAATGCCAAGAATGGCCTCAGGTGAACTTTTTTTGTTGCAGAGATTTAATTGCAACTGGGTGCCCGTTTAAAATGGGAGCGTAAGGAAAACCTCTGATTTCTTTGGCACATGTGCTGTTGCAGTTGACTGCTGGAGTGGCATGGAGAGAAAATGGAATTTAATTTAACCAAGAGGCTTTTACATGGTGATTATATGCAAGTATGATGAAGGAGTTGATAAGGTCCTGAGAATTGGAACCAGCTACATAAATGTGTGTGCACGATTACATTAAGTTATACATTTTAGATTTAGCAGCATGAAATGGTTGCTTTTCTTGAAATGGGAATCGAGTGCTTCTGCATCATGCCCAGTGCATCCTAATTTTGGCTTTAGAAGACTTCTAAAGAGGGTGTTGTTAACTCATTCTCCTTATCTTAAATTAAGCACATTAACTTTGCAGATGGAGGACCAGAAAAAAAAATGGCCACTTTTGCTATGTTTAACTTTCCATCTTTCTAAAGAGTTCAGTCTGCTAACTCTTAATATTGACTTGCTGGTATGTTGGTAGTAGTTGCTTTTGAAGAAGAAAGAAGTGGTATGTCTGTTTTGAATGTTAAACATAATTTAATACTCCTTGGAATAGTCAGTTACGATGCATTCAGTATTTCGTATCTTTTTTACATGTGTAATATCAGGAAACATTTGGTAAACATTTGACATGTGACATAGGTGACCATATATCCAGGAAATATTTTGCATGATAGAAGGATTGTATTTTCAGGATATAAATTTTATGTTCTGAAAAAGAAGAAGAAAATTATATTGTACACTTTGCTATTTCTAACCCCCTTTTTTCATTAATGTTACAATGGAACTAATGTATGTTCTGCTCAATGATCTTTAAAGTATAGGTTTGGTCTTTGTAAAACCAAAAAAAATTTTTAAAGAGTTTAGTTATTTATTTTTAGACAGGGGAAGGGAGGAAGAAACAGGGAGAGAAACATCAATATGTGCTTGGTTGCCTTTTTCATACCCCCTACCAGGGACCTGGCTCACAACCCCGACATGTGCCCTGACTGGGAATCGAACTGGCAACCCTTTGGTTCCCAGGCCGGCACTCAACCCACTGAACCACACCAGCCAGGCCAAAATGTCTTTGGAAACTAAGAGGACATAGTACCAGCTCACCTCCTCACACTATCCTAAAACGTAGATACAAGGTGGGGCTCAACATCAGAGGTGGTAAGGCTTCCTGAAGTGGGCCCATCTTGTATTTTTTTCTCACACCTAAGCCTATACAGGTTGTTTAGCTGTTTAGTGTCACCTGCCAAAGCACTTTGTTAGCAGTCCTGGGAGCAGTACTGGGCAGCAGTTACACATGACATCAGGGTGGAAGAAGCATTTCTGTTGAGGGAAGAAATCACATAAAAGCAGAGAGAGCCAACTCTGTACAAACTGAGTTTGTAGAATGTTGTGGAACAGTAATAAAAGAACCTTAGCTCAACCCAGTTGTATGTGAAGTGTTTAGAATATAGTCTGGGGCTAAGTGCTTTATGTGTATAACATCATCAGTATACAAAATGACCCTTTTTTGAAGGTGGTCATATCATACTACCCATCAAGTGAAGACTCAGCAAATATCTGTAACAGTCGATATTTATTTGCTCTATCTCCCTGTCAGGCTCAGTTTTATATGATTTAATTTACTTCATCCTCATGACAACCCAATGACTAAACAGATTCGGAGAGGTTAAGTATTTTACCCAAGGTGTACAGCTACCAGATGCTGGTTCTGAACCCAGGGTCTGGCTCAAAAGTAAGTCCATATAACTAGTGGGCCCTTAAACTCCATTATACCCCTGGTAACAGCTGCAAGTCAATGATACTTCACAGTATCCCCAAGATTACAGGTGTGTGCATGTGTCATGTTTAGCCACACCCTCCTGTATTAATACCATCAATAGGTTGTGATTAAATCTGGAGGGTGGCGCTTAATCTGCATTAAGTGGAATCACCTTTGACTTTGGAGGAGCATTCTCACACAACATATGTTTAGCTAGGATAATAGAATTTAAGCTAGAGTATGTTATCTTTTTAATTACTAATTACATGAAAGCCACTTTTTTTTTTAAGCTTGCCAGGTGTATGGCACTCCAACTGCCCCAGTGGGCACTAATGCACATACTAGAGATGCAGGTTCTGCAGTAAATCATTGAGCCTGATCTTCTGATTACCAACACCCTAATCCACCTGAGGTGGATTTTAACTTCTATTTGTTCTAAGTTCCACCTGAGTTCTATAATTAGCTGTAAGTGAAAAGATAAAACTTGTGCCTTATACTTTGCCACTCACATTTCTCAAGGAACTGTGTGTTGCTGCTTCACCAGTGTAGTTGATAGGTCAAGCAAATTAATTATAACCGAGATTAGGAGCCATTTTAAGTAATGTTTACAATTATTGTTGTCGAGAGTTGATAAGTTGTTTGTTGACAATTTAGTTGAGATGTAATATAAGGGGAAGTGTTTTAAAAAGCATATGTTGAATTAAAAAAGCTCATGCTGTTTTTAAGACACAGGTTACTAATCTGTTTCTTACATTAGATAAACACTAATTTGTTGACTACAATTAATATTCAGTGCTATTTCTGATTTTTTTGGAAATACTAAGTTTGTAGAGTTTGAACAGAAAAACAATTTTAGTGTCTAATCCAGAATGCTGTTTTTCCCATTAAACCTAGATGCCCTATTTGAAATTAATTGAGCCGTCATAGGCTATGTCATGTCATCAAGATTCGAAATGAGGGCCCTAATTCTTTATTTTACATCTTCTGTGTTAATGCTTTATCATTTGATCTCGCAGTCCATGCCAGAGTATTTACAGATGAAACTGTTATGTAGTCTTTCGGGTTCTGCCAGAGACTAAAGTCTCTTGGCCAAAAGCCAACATAATCTTGAATTTTTACTGTAATGTGTTGAATGTGTTAAGAATCCTTTCTAAGTCATATAGGTTAGAAGTCTTTCATTGACTATGGCTTGAAAGAAAAAAATCCACTATCCCATATGCATAATAATTAGATGAATTTAATTATTTCTTTCAGCAGTAGCTAGTTATGGAAACACATGCATGTAAACATGCTACTTGGAAGATACGTTTCAGGTAATGTTAAAAATTATTCAGCTGACATTCATAGAATACTTGAGTACCAACAGTATGCCTAGAACAAGAACTGTAAGTAAAAATTAACCAAAAGTGTTAGAGGAAAAGAGTTTGAGGGAACTTTTTGTTTATTTTATATTTATTTTAATCACGTTGATTTTTAAAACATCTGGACAAGATTCAAAGTGTTCAAAATTATTTATACAGTTGAACACATTTGAATGTTAAGAAAGTACTGCATAAATTACCCTAAAGCCTTATATGATAGTATAGATGAGAATCAGAGTCTCTTGTTTCCGTAAACTATTTTTTATTGGGTATCTTTGAAAAGCTACATTAATAATCTTTCAGATTTCTGGGACATTACTTACTGAACTGAAGGAGCAGTTTAGTGGGGAATATCTTAGAAACCTTAAAGAATGAATGTGGCTGTCTGTTTGACCACTAAAAGGTATAAAGTGGATGGAACCCATTTTTGGTCTTGAAAGGGTTATCATTCTAGTAAGTTTCCTTCTTAGGAAGATAGTACAGACTGGTTTTGAACTATGCAAAAG